ATTATACAGTGAATATGAATAATTTTGATGGATAAATATAGAATTTGACAATAACTCAACTATAGCACTTCCTACTGGACCCTTGCCTCGACAAAATAAATAATATATCGTGTAATATACGTTTGGACACAGGCAGTGCCCAAATGTTGGACGTATATAGCTTGTAACTTTACTTTTATATTTGTAAATATCCTCAAACAGTTAAGTACTTTTGAAGTTACAGATGCACTAACATTTATAAATAATATACATATATGAAGTTAAAGATTCGTATAATATTTTGTTTTAATTAATTATTAGTGTAGTAACATTGAAAACCAGATAACAAAAACAATGTGAATTCAAATGACTGACTACTAACTAATGACTACATATTGTAGTTGTGATTCATCAAGCCCGTGTTTTGTTGATAAAATATTTTGTTTTGTTTCATTTTACTTCACAATCATACTGAGTGATGGTGTGCTTGTTGAATTACATTTTGTTAAATTAAATTACTTTTATTTAATACATCACCACTTTTTTTATAGAATAAGCGTTACAAACGAGCACACAGTCTACCTGATTATAAGTGAATGCTGTGGCCCACAGACATCTACAACTATCTTCGATTTAGAATCAAAATGCAGATCCAATTGCACCCCTAAGTACTAAGATGAAGAGCCTCATTTCCAGTAAAAATTCTCTCCGGTACTCTTCACCCATCATATGAAACAGCAATATTAAGCTGCTATTTTTCACTAGTAAACCGTGAAAGCGTCGTCCTTTCTCAGTCGCGCCGACTCATTCTTGGTACTACTAATATAGCTACAGCGTGGCTCAACCACGTATAAGCCTCTGCAATTTTCAAACTCAAACGGCAGTCTGTTAACTATGACAATGTAAATAATGCACTATTGAAATTAGTACATTGGTTTAACGCCAATGATTTGCTCTTGAGCAATAATAAGAAAAAATGTATTAAATTTACAATACCTAATGTTAAACATTCGAATACCACATAGGAAGGAGGTGAGTCTTGTTATCACCGTTTTTCTTGGTATTATAGGTCGGGGAAGTTACTTCGTATTTTATTTGTACAAAATTTAAGAAAAGTCTCTTTGATTGTACTGTTTGTATTTGAAAAAAATTGTGACGTTTATGGACCTAATGCAGTGTCAGTAAGAGTAGCAAATAGTTGGTTTAAGTGTTTTCAGCCCGGGAATTTTGATGTCAAAGATGCCGCTTGCTCTGGTCACCTTGATACGAATTAATTCGATGCCATTTAAAAAAAAGTGGAGCAAAATTATAGAGATTATATTTAATAGATATTAGTAGTTCCGAGATAGCCGAGGAATTGAGAATTTAACGCAAAACTGTTATTACCCGTTTGAAAAAGTCTGACCATACAAAAACGATCTCGATATTTGGATACCATACGAGCTCACTGAAAGAAATCTGATGAATCGTGCACTCATTTGCGATTCTCTATTGAAACGTAATGAAACTGAACCATTTTTGAAAAGATTGATCACTTGTGATTATATATATATCAACTACGACAAGAATGTGCGACAAAGATCATGGTCAAAGGATAGTCAGGCTCCACAGACTGTAGCGAAAGCCGGATTAAAACGCAATAAAGTGATTCTGTGTGTATGGTGGGATTAGAAGGGCATCATTTATTATGTGCTCTTACCGCCGGGTGACACCATCGATTTAGATTTCTACTACCAACAACTAATGAGACTCAAGCAAGAAATTGGGAAAAAATAACCGGAATTGATCAACAGAAAAGGAGTGGTCTTTCATCATAATACGAGTAACGCCAGACCAAACACATCTTTGGCTACAAATTGCAAAATGTGTGCCGCCAATCATCTAGACGGTATGTGTGGTATCACGAGTTTTGTAGCGAAGTGCAATAGTGAAACTGAGCGGCTGGAATTAGTCCGAACAATTCCTCAGATCACTCCCCTTGATAGATGCGATTAAATACGCAAAGAGTTGCAAGATCTCTTCGCAGTGCCAATGAGTCAAGCCGATCAGAAATAGCTCGGTCAGCGACAATTCTAATCGCTCTGTGCTAGATGCGATTAAATGGTAAGAGTTGGCACTGGGGAGCTCCAGTCCAGAGATGGGAACAGTATTGTATGTGAGGTCGAACCTGCACCTTGTAAAGTTGCACGCGGTGTGCCGGCATGAAATACTGTCCCGCTCTGCTGAGCACGCCAAACTTTTAAAGAGGCCAATTTGGCCTTCTTCTCCAAGTGACCACGAAACTGCACGTCATTCCATATGTCGAAGCCAAAGATTCCGATACTGGCTGATGTAAGAAGAGGAGTGCCCTGGAACTGGGAAATACAACAAAAGGGTTCTTCTTAGCGGTAAACGCGCAAATTTGTGTCTTCTGGGAATTGAACTGGAGAAATTTAGTCGCATCCAATCCGAAACTTTGTTGAACAAAGTCTTGACTTCAGACACAAGTTTGTTCAGGTACTTTAGTTACAGTTCAAAGAGTCTATAAACTGTGACAAGTGTTAGCAACGAACAAAATGTAGTATTATATATTTAGAAAAGTACGTACGTGTATTTAATTTTTAAGAATCCTCTCTTGTTTTCTTATTTTTTTACCCTCGACAGGTATAAATTGCTGTATAGACAAACTTTTTCTTACATCCTTAGATACATAATTTAATTGTTTAAGATGTACACGTGGCCTAGAAAATTTTGGGGTGATTTTGTAAGGAATTAAGTTACAAGCTCTGAGGTTAGTAGGGCAATTGCTTTTTATTTAATGAGGGTAATGTACATAATAGGTCTGTAACTAAATTATTTTTTCGAATAAGATGTGAAGGCGTTTCTTGCCTTTCAAATTTAATGATATTATTTTTCTTTTTCTTTAACAAGAACACATGTTGTCCCATGTTGGTCTGGGACTTGTAGGTCCCATGTTTAACTGGGACTTATAACAAAAAAGAATATGCCAGCTGTGTTACTTGCTTAGTAAGTCGGTATGCTACTCATAACCACCTATCACTTCTATTTTTTTCCATCTATACTCATATTTTTTGGCTAAATGCAGTTCGAGCGGCTCGCTGCTCGTTGGACCTTGTATACCTTCTCGGCGATTGCATGCGTGACGTATATGTATATATATAATTAACATGAGATCACATCCTGCAGAACCCATTGTATAGAAAACAAGTTTTATACTACTCTGCCCTTAAAAATATACAAAAATTAATATTTTAATAAAACTAACAAATATTATTATTATTATAGTGGGGTATCTATAAAGTTTTCTCATCTGGTTGGGCAGTATAAATATATAAATGTAAATAAAAATGCTAAACATACATAAATATCAATAAAATAAAATAAATACATAAAATACATAAGCATATGAAAATCCAACCAGATAGAAGCCCTCTGCAGGGAAGACCAATCAGCCGACGGTTAGGGGGAAAGGGAAAGAAACCGGTGGATGATGCGGACGGTATCGAAGAGCACCGCCTTCTGCATTTGAGCTCGGAGTGGTCCGTCACGGAGTACCCAGTCGCCTCAGATAACCCGAGAGGCTTACTGGGATTAACCCGTTCACAAAAACGACCACAGGAATAATTTCGATCGGCAGACCACCCCACATGTCGGTCACCTCGTGAGCCAGGTCGAGATATTTTGTCAGCCTATCTGTTTCGGCTATCACGAGATTCTCGTCATCATCATCATCATCATCATTACAGCCTTTCATAAGTCCACTGCTGAACATAGGCCTCCCCTAAGGAATGCCACAAAGCACGGTCCTGAGCCACCTTCATCCATCGACTTCCTGCATGTCTTACCAGGTCGTCACTCCATCTTGTGGGGGGTCGCCCTACACTTCGCCTACCGATACGAGGCTTCCACTCAAGAACCTTTCTTCTCCACCGGTTGTCGGTTCTTCGAGCTATATCGCTGGCCCACTGCCACTTCAGCTTACTAATCCGTTGGGCTATGTCGGTTACTCTGGTTCTACTGCGGATATACTCTTTTCTAAGTTTATCACTAAGAGAAACTCCGAGCATAGCCCTCTCCACAGCTCGCTGAGCGACCTTGAGCTTTCTCATACGGCCAGCAGTGAAGGACCACGTCTCAGATCCGTAAGTCATCACTGGCAACACGCACTGGTTGTACAATTTCGTTTTAAGGTTTTGAGATATGTCTGACGAGAAGATGTGTCGTAGTTTCCCGAACGCTGCCCAGCCGAGTTGAATCCGTCGATTGACCTCTCGGTCGAAGTTGGACTTACCTAGTAGGACTATTTGCCCCAGGTAAAAAGTTTACCAAAACGTAGCTTGTGGAGGGAGGCAACTGTGTCTACGAAAGGCTCATGTAGAGCCTTGTAGAACCTCCCGTGGTGCTCCTTCTCCTTCCGTACGGTCTCCTGGTCGGAAATGCTCTGTACTTATTATTATTATTATTAATATTATTAAAAATAACATACAGTCGAATTGAGTACCTCCTCCTTTTAAGATTGAGAAATGTGAAAAAGACACTCTTGGATCAAAAGAGCTCCTGGTATAGAATCCTGGCTATTAGGTTGTGCCTATGCAAGTACTCAGAGTAAGAAAGCGCCCTACAACTGGAGATGTCATGCCTAAGTGATCCACCGGAATGGCGACAAGCTCGACAAATGTCGACGGTGCCATCTCTTAGGATGTATCTCCGATAGTTGTTGGTGTTAATAACCTGATCCTGTATTGCACAGACAAAACCCTCGGTTTCCCCGAAGAGGTCACCAAAACGTAGCCAGTAGAGGGAGGCAACTGTATCTACGAAAGGCTCATGTAGATCCTTGTAGAACCTCCCGTGGAGCTTGTTCTCCTTCCACATGGTCTCCCGGGTCTTGCCATTGCTCGTAGGCTAAGGATAGAGGGGTATGTCCTTTATCATAAAAAATAACGTAGAATGGATCATCCGTTCTCGCCAGAAAATAATTACGGAGGCTGCACACTTCGCGATTATGCAGGGTAAGCGCGCTAAAAAAGCTGTGTCCACCATGCTTCCGCGGCAAGTACAGCCTCATTACCGACGATCTCGGATGATGCATTTTGTGGGACGTCATTATAGTGCGGACTTTCCTGTCCAGAGCGTTCAGTTTGGTCTGAGTCCACCTGAGTATGTAAATGATGTTTAGCAATTCCATAATATGAAAGCGACTGGAATAACTTGAGACCATCCATATAGAAAAGGTGGGTCACTTTTGTACCTCCTTTCCGAAGCTGAAATCCCCTCCCGGAACCCTCCAGTAAAGTACTGAGAGGGTTCAGAGAGAGGCAGAACCAGATTGGACTCAACCATTCGCCCTGGAAGATACCCCTTCTAATCCTTATGTGGTTATCCGCAGCCGTCATCCGGTGGCCTAGATGACAAACGATCGTACTCCACTGTCCCATACACTGCCCGAGGAAGTCTCGAACCGTACAGTCAACCTTGTACAGCTCGAGGACCCTCTTAAGCCATGTATGAGGCACCGAGTCAAATGCCTTTTTGTAGTCTATCCAGGCGGCGGAGAGGTTCCGACGGTTGCGTTTAACCACCTTGCCAATGACCGCGTCAATGAGGAGTGGTTCCTTGGTTCCAAGACCACCGCCCCGACATCCATTTTGAGCGCGAGACATCACCTGATTTGAGTTCAGGTGACGAGTGATTCTCGCGCTCAAAATAGATGTTAGTGTCTTGTATATGGTAGGAAGATACATTATTGGCCGGTATTTGCTCGGGTCTGTGGAATCCCGGTCTTAAGGAACCAAATGAGTGATCCCAGTAGTGAAGAGGCTCGGGAGCGATTTTTGGTCGAGAGCCTCTTGAAACTGTCGGGCGAGCACAGCGTGATACACCACGAACCCCTTCAGCCAGTAGTGATGCAGTCCGTCGAGTCCCGGACTTTTCCAATTCGGGGCCCTACGGACCGCCTCAGCTACGTCATCCGGCGTTATAATGACGGGGTCCATGGGCGTAATTTTTGCACACTGACTCGCCACAACGCTCCAAGGGCCCTCGCTGTGGATTACGGGCTCTGACCACAGGCCGCGCCAGAATGCGATAGTTTTTTTTTTTTTTACAGGAGAGGGGGCAAACGAGCTTGCAGCTCACCTGATGGTAAGTGACTACCGCCGCCCATGAACAACTGCAACACCAGGGAGGGAATTGCAGATGCGTTGCCGGCCTTTTAAAAAGGAGTACGCTCTTTTCTTGAAGGTCCCTAAGTCGTATCGGTCCGGAAAAAATCGCTGATGGTAATCGATTCCACAAGGAAGTCGTGCGAGGAAGAAAACATCTTCTAAATCACACAGTGGTGGACCGCCAATCATCCAGATGGTAAGGATGGTATTGGGAGTTCTGCCGTGATGTGCATTCGTGAAATTTGGCGGCTGGGATTAATCCGAACAATTCCTCAGAGCACTGTCCATGGTAGATGCGAAAGAAAATGCAAAGGGATGCAACATCTCTTCGCAGTGCCAATGAATCGAGTCGATCGGAAAGGGCTCGGTCGTCGACGATTCGAGCCGCTCTGCGTTGGATGCGGTCAAGTGGACGGAACTGGCACTGCGGAGCCCCGGCCTGATTCGGTGCTGGGTCCGTTCCACGTACCATTGGTCGCTCCAGTGATTCATAGAGCCTCTTCTGATCACTTCGGAAGAGACGATTCTGGTTGAACCGTGTCGACCTCTCGGTGTAGCGATTCTCTGCTTCAGGTCGTCTATGCACTTCGTCAGTTTTTGCGTTATATCCGGCTGGGACAAACTGATATTTGTCCCAGCAAACGCCATCCTGACGTTGATCCAACTGATGTTGGAGCGCAGGGTGTACCGAACTCCGTCTTTTAGGTTTTGCTCTAAAACATAAACAGATGGCTTCAGCTCCGCAAAAAAGCGATACATCCGAGCCCGATACGCCAACATTCCAGTTTCTTCCCCTTTTGCTCTAAAATACGCTCGCAATGCGTTTGCGTTCATCATTTTTGTCCAACGCATGCGACGTGTTCCACCAGCGGCGGGTGCCGCTTGCTGAGTCCGAGAAGACCCAGCCGACACCAAGCCCTCTGGTGGGGATGATGGATGCGGGCGGCTACTAGGTGGTCTTGCAGCCCCCAGCGCTTGGCTGGCGACCCGAATGCTGTCGCGTCGAGCGCCAGCTCCAGACGCGCCCTGGCGACCTCCAGGCAGCGGCCCTTTGCGAACTCTTTTATTGTCCATCATCCATTGCATTGGCGACAATTAACGGGAGACGCCCAGGCCTGGCACCGTTTCATGGTGCGGCCATAAGCACAGACGGACCTTTGCACCCTCAATTCTGCCGAGGCACGGCGCACACACCTCTTGGCAAGGCGCTGACTGACGGCACTGACGTAGCAGTTTTGTCACTTAACTGTTACGTCAGCGGGCGGTGGGGTCGTCACTTCCCTACACCACTTTATTATTATGGGGGGTTTTCTATAAAGTTTTCTCATCTGGTTGGGTTGTTTAAATATATAATTGTAAACGAAATATATAAACATACATAAATATCAATAAAATAGAATAAATACATAAAAAATACATAAATATATAAAAAACCCAACCAGATGGAAGCCCTTGGCAGGGGAGATCAAACGGCCGAGGGTTAGGGGGAAAGGGAAAGAAACCGGCGGGCGATGCGGGCGGTATCGAGGAGCACCGCCTTCTGCATTAGAGCTTGGAGCGGTCCTTCACGGAGTCCCAGTCGCCTCAGATGACCCGAGAGGCTAACTGGGATTAAACCGTTCGTAGAAACGACCACAGGAATAATTTCGGCCGACAGACCACCCCACATGTCGGTTACCTCGTGAGCCAGGTCCAGATATTTTGTCAGCTTATCTGTTTCGGCTTTCACGAGGTTCTCATCATAAGGAATGGTAATGTCGACCAAAAATATCCTTGAATGTGCCCGGTCCATCAGCACAATATCAGCCTTATTCGCAAGAATAGTCCTGTCTGTAATGATGGCCCGGTCCCAATAGAGCCTGGCGCGGTCATTTTCGAGCACGGCTTCCGGCAAGTACTTATAATATGGCAGTTTTCGATCCACGAGACCGTATTTCAGAGCGAGCTCCTGGTGTGGAATCATGGCTACTAGATTGTGTCTGTGCAAATACTCAGAGTTAGAAAGCGCCGAACAACCGAAGATGACATGCCTAAGTGACTCACCGGGATGGCGACAAGCTCGACAGATGTCGACGCTGCCATCCTTTAGGATGTATCTCCGATAATTGTTGGTCTTAATAACCTGACCCTGTATTGCACAGACAAAACTCTCAGTTTCCCCAAAGAGGTCACTGAAACGTAGCCAGTGGAGGGAGGCGAATGTATCTACGAAAGGCTCATGAAGGGCCTTGTAGGACCTCCCGTGGAGCTCCTTCTCCTTCCATACGGTCTATCAGTCGGAAATGCTATGTACTGCCGGGTCTTGCTATTGCTCGTTGGCTAAGGATAGAGGAGTTAGCCCTTTATCACAAGAAATAACGTCCCTATAGTATGGATCATCCACTCTCGTCAGAAAGTAATTACGGAAGCTGCACGTTTCGCGATTATGCATGATAAGCGCGCTTAAAAAGCCGCGCTTAAAAAGCCGCGCCCACAATACTTCCGCGGCAAGAATAGCCTCATTACTGACGATCTCGGATGATGCAACCTGTGGGACGTCATTATAGTGCGGACTTTTCTGTCCAGAGCGTTCAGTTCTGTCTAAATCCACTTGAGTATGCCAAAGGTATACATGAGAACAGGCATGATCCAACCGTTATATGCGTGCGTCTTATTCACACCGGACAAAAGGCTATTAAGCACTTTGATTAAGCGTGCATAAAACACATCGCAAACTGACCGTTTCATACCCGCCTCATCTACACCGATGTTCTGTGACATACCCAGGTATCGGTATGTTTCAGCCTCGGAAATTGTCCTTATGCTAATGGGCATAGATAAGTCCATGCCCTAAGAGTTAGCAACCCTTTCCCATTCGACATGGAGGATCGCACACTTATCCGTCCCCAGCTCCATTCCAATAGAATTGCTAAAATCACAAGTGATGTTTAGCAATTCCATAAGATGAAAGTGACTGGAGGCGAATATCTTGACTTCATCCATATAGAAAAGGTGGGTCACTTTTGTACCTCCCTTCCGAAGCTGAAATCCCCTCCCGGAGCCCTCCAGTAAGGTACTGAGAGGGTTCAGAGAGAGGCAGAACCAAATTAGACTCAAACAATCTCCCTGGAAGATACCCCTTCTTATCTTTATGTGGTTCTCCGCAGCCGTCATCCGCTCGCATAGATGACAAAGGATCGTACCCCACTGCTCCATACACTGCCCGAGGAAGTCTGTAACTGTACAGTCAATCTTGTACAGCTCGAGGACCCTCTTAAGCCATGCATGATGCACCGAGTCGAATGCCTTTTTGTAGTCTATCCAGGCGGCGGAGAGGTTCCGACGGTTGCGTTTAACCACCTTGCCAATTACCGCGTCAATGAGAAGTGGTTCCTTGGTTCCACGACCATCGCCCCTACATCCATTCTGAGCGCGTGACATCACCTGATTTGAGTTCAGGTGACGACTGATTCTCGCGCTCAAAATGGATGTTAGTGTCTTGTATATCGTGGGTAGACACGTGATGGGGCGGTATTTGCTCGGGTCTGTGGTATCCTGATCTTTAGGAACCAAATAAGTGATCCCAGTAGTGAAAAGGCCCGGGAGCGACTTCTGGGTGAGAGCCTCTTGAAACTGTCGGGCGATCACAGCGTGACACACCACGAACCTCTTCAACCAGTAGTTATGCAGCCCGTCGAGCCCCGGACATTTCCAGTTCGGAGCCCTACGGACCGCCTCAACTACGTCATCCGGCGTTATGATGACGGGGTCCATGGGCGTAATATTCGCACACTGACTCACCACAACTTCCGTCCAAGGGCCCTCGCTGTGGTTTACGGGCTCTGACCACAGGCCGCGCCAGAATGCGATAGTGTCGGCCTGATTCGTTGCTGGGCCCGCTCCACGTACCATTGGCCGCTCCAATGATTCATAGAGCCTCTTCTGATCACTTTGAAAGAGACGATTCTGGTTGAACCTTGTCGACCTCTCGGTATATAGCCGAATCCGCTTCCCCCAAGCAGCGATTCTCTGCTTCAGGTCGTCTATGCGCTCCGTCATTTTTTGCGTTATATCCGGCTGGGACAAACTGATATTTGTCCCAGCAAACGCCATTCTGACGGTGCGCACAATTCTCGGCCTATTATTGCCCGACCTGAAGCTTATCAGCCTGCCGATGAGGGCCCTTGCCTTTGCGATACGGTCCCCAATCCTTCTTCTCTAGGCTGGGATGGCGCTACTTTGTCTAGTAGCGCGTCCAGCCGTGGGAAGTTTGGCGCCAACAATACGGCAAACTGCAAGTGCGGCGCCAAAAAGAATTGAGTCCGTCTCGCAAAGGTCCCGACTGGCTTCCAAATAGGTCACCAGCATTGGGTTGAGAGCCCTCACGACAGCCCGATTCCGCTTGCTTAGGGGTATGCGCGGGAGTTGCGGTCGATTTTCGAGAGGCGTACTGCGCGTTTCCACAATCGCCTCCTCCAATTTACTCTTCATCTGCTCTAGTTCTTGGGTGACCATTC